CATCTTGCTTCTGATTGAGTCGGACTTCACCTCTGTGGAGACAGGAGTCAGAGGCGGATGGCTCACTCTATGTTCCTTCCCACTATTCACACCCCTGCCCTCTACCTCTGGTGTGGGAAAGGGGTTCTCAGCTGGATCAGCCCCTCAAGGATTACATACACTGAGGACAGCCCTGAGGGGCTCATGGGCTGCCCCAAGAGCCCAGACTCTTACCCTAGTGTACAGTAGAGTGTCCATCAGGCTGTTGTGCTCCACCTGGCAGCTGTAGACATCCCTGCTTCAGGGGGTCATTTCCAGCATCACCAGGACCTGACCAGTCTCTGTTCTTCATCAGCTCCGTGGACACCACTGTGGCCATCTTCTCCTACCCATTCTTGAACCACTTGACCTTGATCCCACTGGGGTAGAACCCCACCACCAAGCAAACCATCACGTCCGGGTGGGGCTGAGTCCCCCATGTCATGGAGGAGAATTTTAATTTGGGCTTCACTGAGATGAAGAGAGAAGACAGGCTAGGAAATGGCACCCCTTGCCACAGTGAAACACCCTGTTCTTCCTCTGCTCCCATCCCATCTGCTTTCCCACCCCCTGACCCTGGGGCTTCCCTGGGCAAAAGCCAATTGGCTGGTTCCAGAAGCTCCTATCAAAAGCTTGAGGTTCCTAGCTGCTTTTTGAACAAATGACTCCCTCAGGGGAAGGGGGAATATTTTCATTTTTTAGGCCAGGTTTTATAGCTGTGTTGTTATATATCATTCCCCATGTTCATGCCTGGATGCTGGGATATGGTAGTGGGTGCAGGACTCTGGCACCATCATCCCAATCATTGAAACCCAGCCCTTATCCCAGGACATTTTGACCACTGGGATGACATTCCCATTGCCATTCAAATGCAGGCATTTGACCCAAGTGAGGCGCAACAAGTCGATTGGGGCATGGCCAAGGGACTGTTCAACATTTTTGAATGTTTCGGAAATGTGAAATCTGTGAAGCATTGGAAGGCTGAGGGCGGTGGGTAAAGGCCCCACTCTGGTTCCCCCTTCCAGACAGCAGGAAGTGGTCCCTGCCTCAAGGAACATCTGTGAGGTTCACAGTCCCCCTGACACCCTGTGGCTCCAGTGGGAATGCCCACCTGGACTGGACACTGAAGGGTGACAATCAGTGGTTTCCACAAAGGTTTCCAATCTGATGACTATCAATGGTTTCCAGGAAGGCTTCCCCTAGGGAGATGGCTGCCATGATTTCAGTCACTGATTGATTGGCTCCTGCACTGACACCATCACCCCTGCCCCAGGGACTAAAGCCCAAACCCACCTGCTCAGTGAGGCTCCCAGTACCCCATCCCAGCTAGTGCTGTGCTCCTTCTGGCTTTCCACTGTCCTTGGGGGATTTCTGAAACCGCCAATGCTCCTGCCCCCGCCTCCCTCCATCATCAGTGTGACCTCCTCCCACTTCCTGTCACTCTATTGTGTTGCACTCTTGTTGTTAGCTGTGCCAGGGGGTTTCCACCATTCTCAGCAGTGTCAGGTGTTGGCTGCAGCCCAGGCTGGGGGTGTGACTGGGCTGCGTGAATGTTTCTGCAGGGAATTAAAACCAGAGGTCCCTGGCTAAATCGTCTTTTCCCTCTGCTTAGGGTCACCAAGATGCTGCACTGGGGGTCAGGATGGAATTTTAACCCCTGCCCAGACTGGGGGGAGGGGTATTGTGGGGGGTGTATCTCCCTCTGCTGTTGGGGGGTGGTGGGTGGCCTCTGCCTAGGATCTCTGCAGTGCATTTGAACACCCCTTGCAGTGTAGGGACACTGCTGTACCTGGAGCAGCTGCTCTTAGCTCCTGTGGGAAATGGGCTTAGTAGCCTTGCAACAGGGTAGTGTTAGCAATAAGTGAGACCAGGGCTTGTCTAGGAGGGGTTGGATGGAGGTTATTCTGCCTTAGAACTGGCTCTGATGCCCTGAGGGCCTGGTCTGATTCTGTGATTTTTTTTTCAGCCGTTTACCTCACAGATTTCATGCCCATCTTTTTTTCCCTCATCCCCCAGCTGGAAGGGAGGTCTCTAGACTGGAACCATTGTGAGGAGGGAGCTGGTTATGGTCTTGATTCCACCCCAACCCCACCACAACTTCAAGCCAAAAAAGGCCTCAGACACTCAGGAGATCCCCTCTGCAGCTGACCACCCCATCCTGCTCAGCCACCCAGCAGGCTTGCTGGCAGAAGTGGTCCTCTTCTCCCCAGAAGTACTGCAGCATCTCCATCCAGATGCTCCAGGGCTGGGCAATGTGCTGGCCCAGCACCATGTTGGAAACTTGGGTGTCTTGACACATGCTCCAGGAAGGTAAGGAGCACTTTAATTAGAATGTCGCTGAGAGCTGCTCTAATTAAAGTGCCCACAATGTCATGTATTCAGCATCCCACACTTCAAAATGATGGCAGGAGCACTTTAATTAAAGCTTATTCAACAAGCTTCAGCTATAGCCAACCTGCCACCATTTTGAAGTGTGGCGATGCTGAATAGATGTGACATGGAGGCTGCTGGAGTGTGCCAATTGATTAATAGAGCCTGCTCCAACACTTGCTAATTAGTGTATATCAGAGCAGATGTACAAGGGTTTCTCCGATTGGCCGAGACTCCCTGCACCCCTCTGCTGTCTGCACAAGGAAGAGGTAGGTGTGTCGCGCACACACACAATCCATGTGTTGCTTATGGGCACAAAACCAGGGAGAGGATACAGATACTGTGTGGGACGGGGGCGGGGGGGTGCCAAGTCTAGGTCATCTCCACTGGGATTACAGTGGAAGTGGGGAGACAGGACAACCTAAGAGGGGCAGAGCCAAGGTTTCAGAGTTGTAGAGAAGTGGAGCTGGAAGGGCTCATCAGAAGTCACCTTTAGTGCCTGAGGCAGGACCAGCCCTGTCCAGACTAGCCCAGACAAATCCATTATCAGACATCTGAGCAAAAGGAGGCAGTCAGCTCTGGCCTGCTCCAAAGAAAGCAGGGGAACCACGGCAGCCAACGCCCTGCTTCTATAACAGGTTGTTACTATATGCTCCAGATATCCCAGACAGAGGCCATGTCCCCTCTATAGAGGAATGCAAACCACTACCCCAATCCATACCAACCTGAGTATGAGGCAAAATTCCTTCCTGTCCTCAATGTAGCATCACTGTGTACCTGAGTGGAGGGGAAAGACCCTCTAGGCAGGACCCTCTGGGTTCGAGTCCAGCCAATCCCCTATGGCAAAGGCAGGAGCAGCAAACTGGGCTGCAGGGGTGGGTGCACCCTGGATCCCAGCTGCTTCCATGCTTCCCCACTCCCTGGTGGGAGAAGACCAAGCTGTGGGAGCCTTAAAGGACTTTTTAACACCCCCAGAGCAGGTTAGAAACCCCACTTTCCCTCCATGACCACAGCCAGGTCCTCTCCCCTCCCTTTTACACCTTTCCCATTCATGGCTGCTGCTTTCCCCATTTTCCCTGGATTGAGGGAAGCTTTGGAGCCACTTCTGCCCACTACAGCTGGGCTGTGCTCAACTGGGACAACAGGAGCGGTGGGCCAGGTGATGGGTTCCCCCATGCTGCCTGGCCCAGTGGAAACAGGTGTGAGAAGGAGAACCTCCCCACCCGTCACCACTGCCCAAGCTGAGACCAACCCCCATGTGTCCCAGCTGAAGCTGGCAGAGCATCTCTAAAACATCCCCCACTCTGGGACAGGAGGGGAAGCAGCAGCAGCAGATGGGGTAGGGGAGGGGGCGCAACAGCATGGAGGGGAGTCTTACCTGCTTACCTCATCCTGCTTCAAGACGAAACTGGATGCTTATCTTGCTGGGATCCTATGACCCCAGCTGACTTCCTGCCCTTTGGGCAGGGGGCTGGACTCGATGATCTTCCGAGGTCCCTTCCGGCCCTAATGTCTATGAAATCTATGAAATCTATGCTTTGGGGGCTTTCAGTAAGTCCCAAGAGTTTCCAGTGTCATGGTTCAGTCTGAAAGGGGGTGGGTGCAGCCTTTCCACTGCACCTCCTCAAGACTTGCGCCTGCCTGAGAGTGCTGGGCACACCTGCCCAAAGCCCCTGAGAGACTCAGTGGTCCCAGGTGGGGGCAAATGGGGTACAAGCTCATGGCTCTTGCCTCTGACATATGAGGAGTTGAGAGGTTGCTGCGGGAGAAGACTTTAATAAGGCTCAGAGTCCTGGCAAGGAGCAAGATGGTGAGCAAGATGGTGGTAGTGAGCACACAGCAGTAACAAGATCCATGACAGCGAAGTCCATTTCTCTATGTGATGGCTCCTGGTCCCCCACAATGCAGCCACAAGCTTGGTCATTACAAGGATGTACTTAGATCCCAATGAGGCAGGAACCTGCATCCACCATCAGCCCATCCCAGTGTTAGTTGGCTGGGCACTGAAAACAAAGCCTGGGGTCCCATGCTGCCCTGAACCTCAGAGTTTATTCACAGGCTTCTTCCATTCCTAAATCAAGTCTTCAGTCCTTCTCAGTGCCCAGCACAGCTCCATCAGGAAACCCTTTGCAAGGGCATTGGGCATGGGTGGGCAAGGGTGGGCATTGGGCATGGGTGGGCTAGCTACACTTTCCCTCTATCTGTCCCTCTCCTGGCTGGACCTCCTGGACAGGAAGAGTCTCCAGGAAGAGTGGTGAGCCAGGGCAGTAGTAATCACAGCCACCAGCTTCACAGCAGCCTCCCTGCCTACTTCAATCCCAAACACCACATGGCTGCACTGTGAACAGAGGGATTTGAAGTACAGATCTGCAGGTGGGCTGGGGCAGGAAAGGATCTGCAGTTGGTCTGGATCCATAGAGTCACCCCAGGGAACAAAACAGGTGTGTAGGAGAGGGAGGATGCCCGTGGGAAGGGGGAGCCCAGGACAGAGGTGGTGACAGCACAAGAAAGAGATGGATATGAAAGGACCTCATGCCAGGGATGCTGGCAGCTGGGCCAGAGCAGAGGGTGCTGGGGTGATCCCAAGATGCAGGAGAGGTCCCAGGAGGCTCTGGCTGGAGAATCATGCAAGACACAGGCCCCAAAGCCTCAAGATCTATCTCAGGAGCCCTGCAGGGAGAGTGGGTAGAGATTATATTACCTGGAAGGTGCCAGGAACCTCAGGACTGGATCATCCACTTGACAGGCACCCTGCAAAACCTCTTCTCAGTGTCTGTGTGGGGAGGGGGATCTACCAGGGGGAATGGGGGGATGAAATGACCTGCAGTCTGGGGACAACGCTCCAGGGAAACTAAAGGGAGACATGGACAGTGACTGGGATGGGGGAAATGGGTCCTGCAGGGTCAGAGCTCCAACCCCTGTCTCGCCTAGAAACCAAGAGCTGCTCTTCCCCATAGATGTGGGGCACCCCCACACACTGGGCCTTGGTGTAAGACCATGGCCCCAGTGCTGCTGCCCCATCCGTGTCCCTCTCACCTTTTTTTTTCCTCAAGTAGACAAGGAGTCCCAGCGCCAGGAAGATCAGCCCCAGCACGAAGCCCCCGATCCCCGTCAGCATCTTGCTCCTGGATGAGTCCAACTGCACCTCTGGGGGAACCGGAGATCAGGGGGTGGGGAGGGGCTCAGTCTGAGCTCCTGCCCCTGCTCACACCCTGGCCCTCTGCCCCCAGGGGGAAGAGGCTGTCACCTGGGACAGCCCCTTAGGGACCAGAGACATGGAAAAGGACAGAGAGGATCATAGGTTGCCCCGGGCTTCCAGGCTCTTACCCCAGAGCACAGTTATGGGTCCCGGCAGGCTGCTGTGCTCCACCTGGCAGGTGTAGATGTCCCCGCTGTGGAGGGTCACTTCCAGCATCACCAGGATCTGGAAGGTCCAGTCTCCGTTCTGCATCAGCTCCGTGGACACCGCTCCGGCCGTCTGCTCCTGCCCGTTCTTCAACCACTTAACCTCAATGTTGCCTGGGTAGAACCCCGTCACGGAGCAAATCAGTGCGTCCGGGTGGGCCTGGGCCCCTGATTTTGCTGGGGAGACTTTCACCTTGGGCTTCGCTGGGGCAGAGGAAAGACAGATAGAAGGAGGGAGGGATCTGGGAAAGAGAAACCCTCCCCTAAACAAAGGCCCTGTTTCTCCATCCCCTCCCCATCCCACCCTCCAAGTTATCTCCACCTCTGACTGTTGTCACTCTGGGCAGGATCTGGCCAGAAAGCAAAAAAAAAGGGAAATCAGGTTCTGGTTGCTCCCAGTGAGAGCAGAGACAAGGACTGTTAGACTCAGAGCACAGGGATAAAGCCTCTTCTATTATCTTTATTTAAATCTAATGTTTTTACTCCATTTTCTCGAGGATGAAGATTTGCTTTCTGAAAACCAATCTTCATATTTATTTGGAATTTCAAAATCCACCTGGACTGATGCTTCCTAAGACTCTAAAATGAAAAGACAAGGATCCCCTGAAGACTTTAAATAAGGAAAAGAGCACCGAATAAAGGTGTCCATATCTCCACCCCCCGCCCCCCATCCCCCATGTGCCCTGCCACCTGTATAGGTGGAAGTGGGTGTCTCTGGGCACAGCCCAGGACTACAGTGAGCAGAGGACTGTGGGGAGCTACAGCGTGAGTTTTTGGCTGTTTCCCCCAACCTCTGTGAGGACAACAAAGACCCCAGGAATCCAGGGACTCACCACTGCGGCCAAGCACATGGGCTTGCTCAGCCACCCCATAGTTGCGCTGGCAGACGCTGTCCACTGCACCCCGGCTGTACTCCAACTCCTCCTTCTGGCTGTTCCAGTATGTGGCATCAGGCTGACCCAGCACAGTGTCAGCCACAAACACGCCAACATCGCTGTCGAAGTGAACGTACTGCTGCTGGTCCCAGATGAACTTCAGCACAAACCTCACCCGCTGGGACACATTTGTGTAGAGACACTCAGCCTTCCCCTGCAACAGGAAATGCTCTGGGGGGGGCAGGGGGGTGCAGACAAGGCACAGGTCAGGAACCTCCCCAGCCACAGCACGGCTCCTACTGGGCAGAGGGACAGAGCTGTGTGGGGCATCTCCAGGGCCCCCGGAGGTGACTCCACTGCCTGCTCCTGGCAGCCTCCAACCCCTCCTGCCCCACAACTTGGCATGGCTCTGCTGCCCCCTCCCATCTCTGATAGCCACCATTGAACCCTCCCACCCCTGCCGCAGCCTACCCAGGCAGCAGTCATCTTTCCAGGGGAGACCTCACTGCTCCCCACCTGTCTACTGCCCTTCTCTGAAGCAGCCCTGCTTCCCCTTCCTGCTGCCCCCTGCACAGCTGTGATACTGCCTAATGCACAAGGCTCCTCATTTTGCCCCACCAAAGAGACCCTGATATTCCCATCCACCTGCCACCCCCATGAATCTCTGCTACCCCTTGAGCCCAAACCAGGGGGACCTGCCGTCTCTCCCAGCTTCTGTCCCTCCCCCACCGCCCCTTGCTCCTGCCCTTGCAACAGTGCTGTGATTCTGCTGCCCATGTCCACCTCCTTCCCCACCACATCGGGGACCCTGCTGCTGTAGCATGAACTAAACTAAGGTAGCTGATGTTAACATGGAGTGTAATAGTAATGAAATGTAACCATGTTAGTCTCGTCCTGTAAGCAACTTGAAAACTTTATTTTGCAACCTTTTGCTTGACATAAGTGAATGAACTTTGCATAGATTTTATGTATGAGTGCGTGTAAAAGGGTGAATGGTGAGAAAATGGCATAGAGATGGGAGAAGAAGATTTAAATGTTCATGTAAGCAACAAGGCGCTAAATGTAAGTTACCAGTTAGTAAACTAATTAATAAATAACTGAAAATTTCTTTTTAGGCCCACGGCACAAAGAAGACAAGGAGGAGAAGGAATGCACCCACCCTGCCAGACGGGCAGCAAGAACACTCCAAGGCTAAGATAAGCTGAAGACAAAAGATGAACAACCGCAAAAACAGAAGCTGGGTATGGAAAAACCCCAAAGCACTGAAACAAAGGATGCTGAGCCCTATAAAAAAGCACTTTGAAAATGCCAAGTTGGGTAAGTCTCTTTTGATACTGCTGTTTCATCGGAGCACAGATGCAACTGTTCACCCTGCTCCAACTGTTATCTTCAAATCTGCTATCTTCAAATCATCATCATCTATTCAGTAAGCCCAGGTTGGCCACCCTGGGCTAAAATTGAGCAACTATTGCTGGTAATTATATCTAGTGTATGTGTAGATGGAATGGTTGTTTTGTGTATGTGTATGTCTGTGTGTAATGATGTGTATGATGATTTGTGTGTGTTTGTATGAATGGTGTGTCCGAACCTCTATGTCTAACTCAGGTAATCAATAAACATGGCACCTTGCCTTATCCCCCTTTATAAAGTCTCACTCATGATTTGAGCAATTAGCAATTTAAGTAACACTGCCCCCACCCATCTGTCCCCTGCCTCTGCTCCACCAGGGAAAACCCACTAGCCCCACATCACCTCCTCCCCCTTTGGTGCCTCCACAACATGGCCTGTGGGTACCCATCCCCCCACCGCCCTCCAGCCCCTGCCCAAGACAAGGCTCCATGGGCGTTACAAGCCTCTACTCACCTGGGGATTCCATGCAATGAGCCATGTGGGTTCTCAGCATCACTAGTGTCACCAGCACAGCCCCATCCCAGCAGCTTCCAGCCCCCAGGCTCTCACCTGTCCCCATCACTGTGCAGGAGACAGAGCTGAGAAACCATCAATTCCCCCCAAAATGAGAACTTCTGTGCCCAGATCTGGGCATCAACTCCCCAAGATGCTACCCCAGCCCTGGGGATGGGACAGCCCCAGCCAAGGGGACCACTTAAAAATGAGAATGGGTAGCATCATCTGTCACCAGGCAGAGCCAGGCTCAGAAAGGCTCCACAACATGCTTCTTCCTGCTGTCTCAAAATAACAGTGTCTGGGGTGTTTCATAGTTTCATAGTGCTTAGGGTGGGAAGAGACCTAACCAGATCATCAGGCCTGACCCCCTGCCCCGGGCAGGAATGAATGTGGGGTGATAAAACGCCAGAAAAAATATATGTCCAGCCTCCTCTTGAAGACCCCCAAGGTAGGAGAGAGCACCACCTCCCTTAGGAGTCCATTCCAGAGCCTGACAGCCCTAACTATAAAGTACTATCTCCTGATGTTCAGCCTGAACCTTCTCTCTAAAAGGGCTCCCCCAGCACCAGTTCTGACACCATAGCAGCCCCTGGATGGTGCTGGATAGCAGTGTCTGGATGGTGCTAGTTATTGGGAAAGCCCAGGGGCAAGCCATCCCCAAAGCAGAGAGCCCTGCCAAGTACCCAGGACATTGATTTGATAGATCTGCACTTAGGGGTGTTGGGGATCACTCAGGTCTGGATGGTTAATTTAGTTCCAGAGAAAGATTTAGGTCCAGCCCCAGAGGCAGAGCCATGGAGCTTTCCCTCACACCCAGAGATGAAATCACCAGTTTTGGGGCTAGGAGTCCACAGGGGTCCTTGGCTGGTCTCTTCACAGGGACCTGAATTCTCCAAAAAGTGTTGGAAATCCTACAGCTCCTGATGCCTCCCCCCACACACCTCATGAGGCTGGGAAGAGCCCTCGACCCCATTTCCTGATGGCAACCGGGGCCCAGAGCAATCCAATGCCTTCCTCAGTGGCAGATCAAGGCCCAGATCCCAGGGGCTGAATCCCAGGCCAGGGACCTGACTGTCTCTATTCCCTGACCCTCTGGCTCTCACCATTCACTCTTTCAGCCCTACATGAAAGGAGAAAGATGATGTTCCATGCAGGAAAGACAAGGGTGTGATGTCAGCACTGACCCACTCTGTGCACAAACGGACCAAAAAAGGGCACAAGACAGGAGAGGTTTTCTCTCAGGGCCACAATGGAACTGGTGCCAAAAGAGGGAAAAGGCCCTATGTCCTGTTCTCCACTCTTTATGCTGAGACACAAAGGGACACTAGGATGTAGTCTCAGGGGGTACCAGCAGCAGGGAGCTGGGGGTGGGTGCCAGGTTCAGGTGCAGATTGGTACAACAGCAAGGAGCCGACTGTCAGAGCTCTGCTAGACGTACGGGGGTCCCCCCAGCTCAAGACTTGTGGCAGAATGCCATCTCTGTCTCTCCCCAAACTCTGCTATCAGGTGGATGCCCAATCTGACAATTTGGTTACCATGGTCACTGCAGAGGGCAGGCACCTCTGCCCCATCAGCTTCAGGTAACCCTGAGTTGTGACCTGAGCTGGATATATTCCTGAGGGAGGGGGGAAACCTGCTCCCTCTACCTACATGACTGGCCTCACACACCTGGGGGGGGGCTTAAGCTCCCTATTGTTCTAAGCAATGCCAACATGACTGGGAGGGGGCTACAGACCCTGCCAGTCTACCCGGCAACCAGTGAGGCATTACAAATTGGTTGGCTGGCAGCCAGCAATTGCTGGCCTTCATTGGCTCAGGTAAATGAGATCATAAGTTCTATATAAGTTAAGGATGTCATATTGAATGAAATATTTTGAATGTTTGTAATGGTTGCCCGTTAGCCAGTTTCAGGAAGAAGATAAGATTTATCTCCTTATCTAGCTCATTGTTTTTGGGACTACGTGCAAAATGTTCTGACTTCGCTTAAAGTCTTAATTTAAATTTTATCTTTAGAAGTCTTTTACAAAGAGAGCAAATATCCTGAATTCTGAGAGATCAAACCCTAGGGCCTTTTGGAAAGATTGGTAAGAAAAGGGGTATTTGCAGTGATATGGAAGTCTCCCCAAGAGTAATTTAAAATGCTCAACAAAGGCAAAAGAATCTGTTGAGTAAGATCCGAGCCCAAATTTGGGAGTAATGACAAGTTGAGTAGGAGGAGCCCACTGACGGCAGCTCACTCAATAAAAACTGTAATTTACTGTCCCCATTTGGAGGTGACTTCACTTGCAGAACAACAAAGGAAGAATCGCAAGTGTAGCCCGGATCAGACTGATCACCTGACCCACCCTCTCCGTGAACACGAATCTCTTAGTTCACGCTGAAGCCGCAGAGCACCTGAAAGGGACTGAAGGAAGGGGACTTAGTCCTATCACTGCTGAGGCCAGCCTATTGAATTGTATTGCTGAGCCCAGCTCATTGAATCGTATTGCTGAGGCCAGCCTATTGAATTATATTGCTGAGGCGAGCCCATTGAACCGTACTACTGAGGCCAACCCATTAAATCGTACTACTGAGGAATGAAACCATATTTTGGTATTTGGCTTCTCGGAATTCTAGGATTGTAAGTATAATATGAAAAATAATAGTATTGATTCAAATTTAACTTTTAGTTGTAATTGTAGTTGTTTTTGTAACACTAATTCTTATAGCATTGTTTGGGAAGGAAGTGCATTTGGAGCATTGTTTCTGATATATGTAATTATTGTGTTCTTAATGTTTGTGGTGTTTCTTAAAGCTAAGCAGTGTTATATGCGTAGCAAAGAGTTTTAAAATAAAATTGTGTTGTATGAATTAAGTGTGTAATCGTTGTGAAATCGTGCAATCAGCTAACTACTCCCCCAGCCAGTGCATCAAAACGAATCAGTAAATTGTGTGGGATTTTCTCTATTCCATAACCCACTAGAGACAAAGGACTGCCCAGGAGGCAGGGCAGCAGCCATGATGAGAACTCTCACAGAAGCTGAACCGTCTGAAATTCACACTCTATTGGGTAAGGGAAGAGGAAAGTGATGGGTGGGGGGGAGAGGGAACGGTTTGTACTTTTGTGTGAAATGGAAAAAAGTTAATCGGTATAAGTGGATAATGGATATTATTGGTATTGAGTGTCATGGTGTATATAAGGGATGGGGTTAGAGAGACCCTGATTTATTTGAGTTGTTGGGACTTGTTCTTGTAAGTAGGAAAAATATATATGGGAATAAGTTTCAAAGGGTTTGTGTAAATGAGAATGAAATGTTACTTTATGAGTTGTTTATGTGTTTATAAGATGTAATATGTGTTGTTAGAAGAAAGAGGTTTTCTGGGTTGTTATGATGAATTTTGTCGTGTTTTTAAGTTTATATTTTTAATTTTTAAAAAAAATCTGAAGCTCGCGTGCTCCTTTGAAATTCATGGTCAATGAACTGCTTGCTTCCAAAGGAAATCTCCACCTGCTCTGGATGATCCTTGGGAGTAAGCTACTTGAGAGAGAACTAGATATAGAGCTTGCAGTAACACAGATGAGTAATCAAAGGCTACCATGCCACTATTTGCTCTGATATTGCTCTACCCTGTACCCTATTCCAAATTTACTCCTTGTAACCAATAAAGTACTCCTTTGCACCTGGCATGGGAGACCTATTGGGAAATGCGCCCCCCCCCCGGCCCCAAAGTTAGAAAATGCTGATTAAATGTTTCCCTGGTTATTGGAGGTCTGGGGAAGTTCCTTTCCTGGCCCACAGGGAGGTGTTCTCCTGGGTCACAACTCTCAGTCTAACCTGGGCTTCTAGGCACATTGCTGTCAGTGGCAATGCATAGGGGGTTCATGGGGGTGCACATGCACCCCCTGAGAGCACCGGTACACCCCCTGTCAGGCTGCGCTCCCTGTTTATGCAGCAGGCAGGGGGCAGGCGGAGTGCTGGTGCCCCCTCGCTGAGCACTGGCTGGGGAGTGGGGCCACTTTTTGGGGAGTAAGATTGCCCATGGGGGGAGTCCCCCTCTACCAGGGGGCAGCATGATCGACCACCAGGGGACCACGCCCACCCCCCCCCGGTTAGTGAGCTCCGCTACTGGGGAACCCCCATCCTGGGCAGAATCCTCAGTGTTGTCAGAATCCTGCCCTCACTTCAGGCTCAGGGGTGCTGCATCGTCCCATAGATTCATAGATTGTAGAGTCGGAAGGGACCACAATGGATCATCGTGTCCGACCCCCTGCCCCGGCAGGAAAGAGGACCGAGGTCAGATGACCCCAGCCAGGTGACTATCTAGCCTCCTCTTGAAGACCTCCAAGCTAGGTGATAGCACTACCTCTCTTGGAAGCCCATTCCAGATCCTGGCCACCCTGACTGTGAAACATTTCTTCCTAATATCTAACCTAAATCCACTCTCAACTGTGCGGGCCGGGAGCGACCCGAGCCCTTTTCGCGCTGCACGCAGGCTGTGGCCAGCAGCCCGGGCACGCCAGGTCGGAGAGGGAAGGCCTTCGAGCTGGAATTAGGCACAGACGCGTATCGGTAGTTTAAAAGATTGTTTACTTACACCAAGATGGCAGTGGTGCAGGCTGAAAACTTGCTTAAGTTGCGGTTACAGACAGGAAAGAAGACAAAACTCGAACCTGCAGGGTACGAGGGTACGTCGCATAGGGTTCCGGCGACGGGAAGATGAAAATACGAGGGTACGTCACAAAGGGTTTTGGCGACAGGAAAATAAACCTGCAGGACTCGAACCCGGGTAGAAGAGCTCTGGAGTCGTCCGGCAAGGACTCACACGAAGTTTGCTAGGCTCCGTGGGTCCTTCTGCTACACGAAGTTTGCTAGGCTCCGTGGTTCTGGTTCGTTTGCGCACGGGAAGGGATACGTCTGGGAATCTATCGGTGACGGGGAGAGGCTAGAGGTTGATCAGACCTCTGTTGCCTGCTTGAAATGCGCTGGGTCCGTAAGGATCCGCAGCGC